CAGCCACCAAAAAGTAGGGTAAGGTAGCGATAGTGCCCTTCTAGCAACACAATGAGCAGCCTGATTACAAACTCTGGGCACAAAGTCCCAACTACAGGAAATGAAAAAACTCATCAAGAACTTAGCTTCATCAATGAGGCCACCCTCCATACTTAAGTCCTCTTCTGAACCATTTAAAGCATTGATCACTGCAAGAGAGTCCCCTTCAATCACCACGTACTTGAAGCCTGCTTGAACACAAAAATGAAGACCATTCACTAAGGCCAAAGCTTCACAGGTTAAAGGACTCAAAGCACCAGTTCCTGGGGTAGCCAAGACACCAACACAAGATCCCCTCTCATCCCGAACAACAGCACCAGTTCCATAAATTCCCCTATGAATGTCCAAAGCACCATCTACATTAAGTTTCACAAAACCATTAGTTGGTTTCCTCCATATACGAATCAGAGATGCTTCTCTTAAATCACTCAACCCCTGCCTACTTCCATCATGACATCCCACCATCCCTTTAGCATTCAGAAAACCCTCCCACCAGCAACTAGCCCTTTCCAACAAATTTTTTGCATCGAACACCGTAGCTCCATAAACTCTTTTATTTCTGTCATGCCAAATAAACCAAGAGAGAATCTCAAACCATTCCAACTCGTTTTGATGGGCAACTTGGGCCACATGATTGAACAAATAAAAAAAGTCCCTCTCCCTCCAAACTGTGCAGACATCATGGAGAAAAGTTAACTTCCAAACCTTTTTAACCCGCTTACAATCCCATAACGCATGAACAACTGATTCTGCACCTCCTTTGCATCCTTGACATCTGCCCTCTACCCCCACATGCCGCTTAAACAAAGCATCTGCACAAGGAATAAAACCCCTACAGGCCCTCCACAAAGATACCTTAATTTTGTTAGGTAAGTTCAATCCCCAAAGTCTCTTCCACCCTTGATGAGATAAAGAATTATTCCCCACAGAACTTCCAGACGCAGCATCCTCCCTTCTGTTTCTTGCCTGATCTGCAACCCAATAGCCTGATTTTACTGAGTACCTGCCATTCTTATTATAATGCCAAACTAATTTATCAAACCCGCCATTTCTTGGCAAAGGAATAGACAAAATCGTATTGGCCTCCGATACCAAAAAAAAGTCTACGAATCAGCTCCACATTCCATGCTCTAGAAGGCAGAATAAGATCTGCAACTGTGGCATTTTCCGGTATGGCGTTGTGAGAGATAACTCTAAAGGTATGAGGTTGAGGAATCCACTTGTCTACTTTTAATCGAATTTGAGTCCCGTCCCCTACTCTCCATCTCATTCCCATCTGTAGAACCTCTTTTCCCCACACTAGACTTCTCCACATCAATGAAGCACCCTTCTTCACTCTTCCTTCCAGCCACTCCCGATTCGGTAGATACTTAGCTTGTAGTAAACGACGAACAAGAGAGTGAGCAGAGTGCATAATCCTCCAATAGGTTTTGGCCAAAAGAGCCTGATTAAATAACTCTAAATCCCGAAAGCCAAGACCGCCGTCCCATTTGTTTCGACACAACTCTGCCCATTTACACCAGTGCAGCCCCTTATTTCCTCCTCCTTTCCCCCACCAATAGCTTGTTATCTTTGATTGAAAAGACTTATGAATTCCTTTGGAAAGCCGGAAGACACTCATTGTGTACGTAGGTATTGCCTGGGCAACTGCTTTAATTAGGGTCATCTTTCCTGCTTTGGACAAGAATTTGCTCTGCCACCCTACCAAATGATGATCCAGTCTCTCATTCAATCTCTTGAACATCTCTTTTTTATTCTTACCCGTCATAGTAGGCAAACCCAAGTATCTCTCGTGAAATGGAACTACTTCAACCCCCAGTAACTGTTTCAATTCCTCCTCCTTCTCCTGTCTCACCCCTAGACCAAAAGCCACAGCTGACTTGTCAAAATTAATTTTCTGTCCAGCCGCAGCTTCGTACAAAAGAAGAATCTGTTTTAGGTTGACAACTTCTTGAGTTTCTGCCCGCACAAAAATGAGGCTATCATCTGCAAACAGAAGATGGGAAATTGAAGGTGCGCTCCTACTGGCTTGCACTCCATGGATGAATCCCAGCATATCGGCATGGAAAAATAAACTCGAAAGTCCCTCAGAGCACAGCAAAAAGAGGTACGGTGACAAAGGATCACCTTGTCTCAACCCTCTTGTTGGTTTGAAAAGACCAGTAGGCTCTCCTTCCCAAAGAACTGAGAAGGACGTTGTAGTCACACACCTCAAAATAAGCTGAATCCACCTATCAGCAAAACCCAGCTTCTCCATCATCTTATGCAAAAAGACCCACTCAACTCTGTCATAAGCTTTACTAATATCCAGTTTGAGAACTAACTGAGCATCCCCGTTGGCTCCTTTTCTACGAATTGAATGCACCGTTTCGAAAGCTGCAATCACATTGTCGTGGATGTGACGCCCAGGGACAAAAGCACTCTGAGACGGGGAAATAACTACATCAAGGACAGTCTTCATCCTGTTCTTATTTTGAATTGAGCTACTCTAAAAGAATGGAATATTTAAGCATTCGAGTCCTCTACTACTTATCTTATAGTTTGTTTATAGATCTTGTTTTGAATTGAGCTACTTTAAAGGAATGGAGTATTTAAGTATTGTAGTTAGGGGTGCATTCGGTCCGGATACGACTCGGATATGATGCTTATCATATCCATATCCGCTTATCCATCTCGGATACGGATACGGATACAGATATACCTCGGTAAGAAAAATTTATAACCATATCCGCTAAAATCGGATACGGTTACGGATATACATGCGGATATATAAGCGGATATGCATGCGGATACAAAACAGATATGAGAAAACTAGATAGTATTTAGAAAAACATAGTTCATGTAATACAAAAGAGTTTGTTAATATGTCCATTATAATTGAAATTTTAAGATTAGATATCTTGATCATCAAAATTAACCAAAAAAACATAATTTAAGAATCGAAACTATCGTAAGAGTATGACTAATATGTATTCGGATATTTCGGATACGGATATTTCACTACAAAACCATATCCGTAACCATATCCTATCGGTTATAGATTTGAGTAACAATATTCGTATCCTAACGGATACGGTTACGGATATTTTCTCGAATACGAATACGATTTAGCACCCCTGATTGTAGTCCTCTACTACTTATCTATATCTATATCTATATCTATAGTACACATAAAAGGGGGTTGTTTTGTCAAAACTTTTAATTTTTATTTTTACCCTTTTAGATTGGATAATTCTCAAATATGTCATTGATAGTAATTAATCATTCACTAATTATATATAACATCTATGCATTTCCTCACATTTTTGAAACCTTTGGTCACGCTATTATTTTATTATTTAAGTATGTTATTTCATAGAAAATTTGAAATGTATCTCTACTTTGTCTACACATAATATTTAAAATTCTAGAGAAGTTAAAAATAAGAAATTCATGTCTTATGTTGTGGGACTTGTTTTTGTGTCCTCTACACAGGTGGGGCCCACATCATTTATGGTAACTACTATGAGTTTGATTGTTTTCGGGAAACACTAGAGGTACACCCTTAAACCACACTTCTAACAACATCCCTCTCCCAGCTACAGTGTTTTGGGGGCCCACATGCTTTATTTAAAAAACCTAAAAACACTGTAGCTGGGAGAGGGATGTGATTGGGAGTGTGGTTTAAGGGTGTGCCTCTAGTGTTTCCCATTGTTTTCTGTGTGGCGCAATACTGGTGGGACCCAGCAAAGTATTCACTTGCTCACTACAAGGAATATGAATTGACAAAACGCCCTTCAATTTGAGTTGGTTGTACTAATAAATCTGTTTTAGTTTGACGCCTTCTGCTTAACGTGCTGCTCCTTTTTTCATCAACTTCTTCCATTGCTTCATGTTGTTATCTTAACACTCGAATTCTTATATAATTCTAAGTGTGTCTGCATGCAAACAAGGTTTGGAATGAAGAAAGATACTTAAAGATTTAGAGATACCGGAAGAAAATAGTGTTCAAATGAGCCACAAGGAGCGTGGAACTATCGTGATTCATTGATGAGTAGGCAGTAGTACAACCGCATTATGGATTTTTCATGATCTAAGTAGGAGGGAAAAAAGAGCGGAAAAATAATATAACATCTTTATATCTCCTAAATTTAAATTATTTTTTGAAGGTTTTTGCACTAAAAAGCGATGTTTGATTTAAGTCCATATCAAAAAAAAAATATGTTTAAATAAAAGACCATGTTGCAGAAAAGAGCCTTTTTTTCTCTTCTTCTATTCTAAAATTCAAATTTGACAGTTTCATACATAAAAGGTGCAAAAATAATATTAAAAAATCAAATTTTAGTTTTTTGAGTTTGGAAAAAATTTGATGCTTTGGAATATCAACTTGTAAGATTAACTTTAGTTTGAAAACTTTGCAGTTTCAACCTATCACCAGTAGAATTTTAGGATATCAAAATTTAAGAAGGATGGATTTTTTTAGGGTGTAGTGGGTAGTTGAGAAAGATAAATTCCAAGTCACTCCACCCTCCTTACAAAAATTGAGAGGGGCTGATTGCTAATAAGTAAAATGAGGGCACTAGAAAATTGATGGTATAATTTTGCAAGTTTGTGTGTAATCTAGTCTAAATTAATATATCTTAAAATGTAGTAATGTAAAAAATTTGAAACTTTTCCGCACTGGCTCTATCTAAAATAAGTTCAAAAAAATTAGAAATTAACCTTATTGTTGTCCACGTTGCATATAATTTCTTTTTAAAGTATAAGTGTTGTGAATGCAACTTTTTGTATATATACACAACATCTCTATATTTAACTTTCGTTTACATAAAAACTGTAGCACTCTTTTGCATAAAATCCTAAATGGAGGTGGCACGTGCAATGTCCTCGCCAGTGTTAACGAAATATGGAGAAGACAAAAAGCAAAACAGAAGGAAGAAGGGCAATTAAGCAGCTAAGTAACAATATAGATATCCAGGTTCTAAAGATAAACGAACAAAGTTATCATTGCCTAATTTGAGTACAACAGTCGAGATGCGTTCTCTCTTCTTTTAAGGCCAGCAAACATCCATCATAGTAAATAATCGAAGGGTCTTCATCATTTCCTCAGTCCACAAATTATACAGTTATCATGCAATGTTTAGCTGGCAAAGTAACATGCGTACATACGGGTATGTATAGAAACAAGGCTAAATTTTCTTCTTATCCTCTTTACTCAACATCGAACCCTTTCTCTTGGAGTTCCTGAATGACCTCATTCCTCATACGAAACCATAGTTTTTGAGCCTCCTGATCAAATTTCTTGGACTGCAGTTGCTTCTGAAAGTTGTCGGAATCCTTTGCAGTGTCTACAAAGCCTTTAGGTCCAATTGTTGTGCCGAGGGTGCCTCCACTGGCGATGAACTCTTCGACTGCTTCTTTGTCACCGGGATATGGAAACCTCCTGCGCTCGTAGAGATGAGCCATCTCTTTCTCTTCCTGTGGGCAAAAGAAGAAATGGCTCTCAAAGTGACTAATTTTGGATACCAGGACAAATATTTTGGAATAAATGTACATATAAGCAGGTACAAGATCAAATGCAAATCAGATGCCAATCCAATTTCTGAACCATACAAGAAATGTTTGGTAAAGGCTGGATAATACTATTACGCAGATACAGTGTTTGCAAATTTAAGATGAAATGAAACTATGTTAGCTAGGAAAGAAATCTGAAGGAGAGAATTATTGGTTTCTTGAGATCATATCACACAAAATATGTACTGATATTTTTTGTAAATTTCACCGTCTCCCGCTGATAATCACAATCTTATCACTACTTTAACCCATATACTGTGTAACCAAAAATTATGCAAGAGATTTATTACTTCCTCAATAGGACACTCCACCTCTTAAAATGCTTCTGCAAGCCATGCCCTGTTCTTCTTCATCTGAGGAAACTTCTAATTTTGATCATGAATGTTTTCACCATGTATGAGTTATCATGTAAATCAAAACAATCACACAATATTTTCCAGAAACAGTTCATTAAATACAACCTCTATCATTTTGTTACTTGCATGCTTACCTTAGAGTTAAGAAGAGATACTTCACTTACTACACTTCAGCTAACTACGACATACAACATAAATCTTCAGTATACGGATTAGACCCTGAATAACTTTTACATGCATAGAACAGAATGCATTAATAAAAAGAGAGAGGGATGTAGGAGAACAACACAGTTATGAAGTATAGGTCTCACCTTTGGCCGAGGCTTCAATGTCCACCAACCAAGAGGGGAAGTTTCGTTATACAACCAAGCAAGTCCAAACAGTGTGTAAGTGCATAACATAGCCTTCCCCATCTGCTTCCAGAAATACATATCCTCCTTCCCAAGCCCAATTTTGCTAAATTACCAAAGAACAAATAAATTTCTTGATTATTGAGTAAAATAACCATAAATACAACTATCCATTATTCAATATTACATTATTTGCTTGAAAAGAGAAAGAAAGAGAGAAATTCAATTAATACAAATGCAATCAAACATAACTGATAGGAGGGGAAAAAACCACGCAAAGAATATCAATTCAATCTATGAATCATGCATCGCACAAATGTGAGCTTAGCACGAGACTTCTAATTCATCTGTGATATTTTCGAACCAATAGCAATATGATATAATAGTGAACATGTAAATACAAGGAATAGAGGATTAGCTTGCCTGAGGAACTTCTGAGCTTTCAAAAAGTTAGCCATTGGGAGAATCACCTGCAAATTAAACGCAGGTTGCGTCAATGGGCATTTTATCAAACAGCTAAATTGCAGAGAGAAACACATTGCTGAGACTAAAACCATCCAATACGAAGAAGAAACCGAGTCTCAAACCAAATATGAAATATTTACACAGTATTATATCTAGTGAATACTGCAAGAAGACAAGCAGCCATGCAAGAACCAGCAATTCATCAAAGTACAACACAGGAAACTCAGCGGAAATTTAAATTGTTTTCCAACAGTACGCATTACATTGCGCCAAATTATAAAAGGAAAAGTTCTATATTCCTCTCAGTAATCAACACTACATTCAATTAAAAATAAAAATAACAAAAAAAAATTAATGGGTATTAAGAGAGTCCAATGAGACATAAATCAAGCACCTAGCATGCAACAATTTTTTTCCACGATAGAGAAGATCTCAACTAATGGTATTTCAAAGCCATCAGAGGAAAGAAAAGGAAGAAGAAAATAGCTTACATAAGAAAAAAAAGAGAAAAATAAGAAGAAATCGCGATCACCTGCGGAAACCTGAAGTGGTCTTGAAGTATGGTGTTTGGGAATTAAAACCACAACATAAAGGTCGTTGATATCTCATCATCAAACAACCAACGGTCCTAAAAAAATGTTTAGATTAACCATTAAGTACCTTGTATTTTCCCTTTTTCTGCACTTGTATAGTATCATTTGTTTTTTTTTTTTACAACATTTATATATCCTAAAATTTCTAATATTTGCACATTAATATCTTCTATTCTCTGAATTTTATGTGATACTCACAAGCTAAGATTACAACTTGTCAGTTCTTAATATTTATTGAATAACTGTTAACGATCCCACTTCTTTTTTAAACCTACCTAAATTATATTTTTAAATAAAACAACGATAATTTTAACAGTTAATTCCATAAGATATATAGGCCTTAATGGTTTCTAACATTGGTTAGTAAGCATCACATGGAGAAATTCAAAGAAAAATTCTCAATCCATATTTGATTTGACAAATTATGTGAAATAATTTCTAACATGACACCTTATTAAAATATAACATTTATTTATCAATTAAGTCTAAATTAATTTCTCCAATTGGTTTAGTATATTATTATAACGTAGTTACTATTTTAATTTATGCTAAAATATAATATGTTATACTATAATTACTAATTAACTATAACTATTTTAAACATTATTAATTAATATATTATAATATATTATATTATAATAGTGTGCTAAATTACATAATGATTGATATAATATACAAACAATAAATTTTAAAATAATATTTGTATAATATAATATTTAATTAAAATTATCACAACACGATATTCATAGATTATGATGTATTGTATAAAATATTATAATATTTTGTTTATTTATATATAGTGATATTATTTAAAATATTATATTATTATATTGTGTCATAATATATACTAATTAACATGATTAACAATATGTTATATAATATTATATTTATGAATATTATAGCAAATTAAAGTACATAATATCACAAGTAAAAATATAATAATATAATGTTATAACATAATAATATATAATATAACATATTATATAACAATGGAATAAAATAAAATATATTATAGCATATTATATTATAATGTAATAAAATATAATATAATATATTACAATAGTTTTAGTATAATATAATATTATACAAATAAAATATTAGTTTATAACATATCATGTTGTAACTTATAAGAGAAGGAATAGTATTATAAGGTAATATATTCAGATATAATATAGAAAATAATGTATCATATTATATTATAATTAACATAGCATATAACAACAAGTTTACTATTTATAAATTATTTAAATGTTATTTTATATATATTATTCAATTATTTTAAGTATTTAATATAATTAGCATGTATTAATTAGTTAAGTATATGAGTGCTCCTAATTTATCCCACTTGCCCCTAAATTACCCCAACATGAAGAATGGAGCAACATTTGAGTTCGGGATAAAAAATTTATAATATAAGTGGGACAATTGTATCCCAAGTGGATAATTATCCCACAAGTGCTCCAACATACCACTAACACCAAAAGTAAAAGTCTCAATTCCAATGTCTCACTGAATAACACTAAAAAGCAATGTCCCAAAAATTATCCTCTTTATCCTAAAATNAAGAGGCAAGGAACTATCCCCCTTCCATAAAACAAATACTCTCTTCTTTCGTACTGGAATCAAGCACTATCTTAAAAACGCTTCTATGAAAATGTCTAACAGCCTAGTAATTTATCACTCCGACTTATTTTTACCCCTCTTGGTTTATTACAAGACTTGGAGCTTATTAAAGTTTAAACAACATTAAAGGTTTTACAGAATTATTATAGAAGCATTAAAGGTTAACAATATTTGATTAAAATAAATAAATAAAGGAAATAAAGGAATACATTTAAAATAACTTCTTCAAATATGACCCTGAGTCGCAAAATGGTTCCAGGCCATTCGAAATCCTCTCTTTTTAAAGCAAAACTAGTATAGAGCACGTGAGTTGTGCTTATACATCTTTGTTTTATAGTTTGAATTTTTTGATAGGAAAGGAGGATAAATAGTATTTTTTTTCAAAATTTATTTAAAGTTGTATATATATTATAATACAATATTGTTATTTTTAATAATAAGCGTATTATAATGTTAGTGCAGGAAAAAGGTGGCTAAATTTGATGATTTTAAATCAGTGCAGCAATTTCAAAATTTATTAGTTCAATGTCAAATTCTACACCAACTGATTACATGAAGTATTATCATACTGTTAAATTGTTTACACATCCAAAAACACTAAAAAAGGGGAAAACCATGCATACAGCTGAGATGGACATGACAAGCATGTGCTTTTGGAAAACCCTACTGCGAGTTCAAATGTTTTGAGAAGGACAATTGCAGTGGTAAGGGGATTGAAGTGGCCTATTGCAAGCTTCCAACTTTACATATCCTAATCTCCAACTAGCAATTTCAACCCTATAGCGTCATGACTATTTCAAGATTCATGAAATTCACAAATAAGTTAGTCTCCTTAAGTTCTCTAAAAGTCTCCTTACATCAAAACTAAAAAAAAAATTCATAAGTTTATTACATCCTAGAAATTTGTAGAGCATATGTCAATTAGAATTTCTCCGGAAAAGCTCAACCCTAATAAATGTAAATGATGTTCTTGCTTACTACCAGCTGAAATGAATTAATTCAACATTAATATGAATCGCCAATGAAGACTTAAACAAGAGCACCTAATCAGCATACTATCTATGATATTTGAAACAAAAAATATTCCCAAATGCGAAAGTACAGGCATCATCAGCTTCTTCTAGTATCAAACAATTACCATAGAAAATCCGTACATATCCAGTTTCGATAACAGCTACATATCATACTCAAATTCTTATCCAGTATATCCATGAGAAATGCTCGGAATTTTTTTAAAAAAATTCAAGAAAACGACACATTATTCTATTCGTTTTCGATTGCTTGAGAGAAATTAACAAAGGGGAAAAGGAGGCACCTTTGAGAGAGGGCTGCTGCCTGCTCGCAGAGAAACCATAGATTCTAAAATGAATAGGAAATTTAGAAGCCGCTACAGGTTTCGTTAGTCAGTCGCTGTGAATGACTCGTGACTAGGGGTGCATTCGGTTCGGATACGGTTCGGATATGACACTTACCATAACCATAACCACTTTCTGAAAACGGATACGGATACGGTTCGGATATTCATTGGTAAGAAAAAAGCATTACCATATCCGCATTAAACGGAAACGGATACGGTTCGGATATTAGAGTTGGATACGGATATGATACGGATACTAATCGGATATTTGAGAAAAAATTAGGAGCTGTTTTCAGAAAGTGGCTATGGTTATGGGAAGTGTCATATCCGAACCGTATCCAAACCAAATGCACCCTGTATGTTACACATAAAGATGCTCTCGAACAAAACCATTTCCCTCCCTTACTTGTTTGTGCACTCGTCATGGTAATTTAGCTAATTTGTATCCATTGCCCGTAAATAGAACTCCGAGCCTAGTTATTGGTAAAATTCTGTAGTCAATATAAATTAGTAAAGCTTAGAAGATTTCAGTAGTCATCAGGTTTTAGCATAAGCAGAACAGACTTCTAATAGCATCCCTTGACTAAAATAAGAATGCAGCATAAAACATCTGAAATTAAAGATTATCACCAGCCACCCAGAGCAACGGCAAGGCCATGAAATACATTTTGCAATCTACACCATGACATCTTCCATTATCCCTCATTTGGTTGATTTAATAACAAATCAGTGAAGCTAACGGAACTACCCTCTAATCTTTCAAAAAAAATATGCACAAATATCCAAGATTCATCAATTCAGCCAACAAATGCTAGAAATTAGGGCTTTTATCAAAAAAAATTAGGGCTTAGGGTTTTGAATTCACCTTAGTGATATACCAAATTGAGGAGGAGAAGAGGAGGTCGGACGTCGTGGATGGTCGTCGTCGCGTCGTCGTATTTTTAATTATATGTATTTTTATCAAATATATGTATTTTACAACTCCATACACTGCAGGTGGCGGAGCGGGACGCGAAGGCGGAGGCGGAGCGGGACCGGAGGCCGAGCGGGACGCGGAGGCGGAGGCGGAGGCGGAGCGGCGAAGGCGGAGGCGGAGCGGGACCGGAGGCCGAGCGGGACGCGGAGGCGGAGGCGGAGGCGGAGCGGGATTTGGAAAGAAGACTTGGGCTAGGTGGATGATTGTTGCAACGAAATAATTTTATTTTTTTTGGTTGTTAGGTCGCTAGAACATTTTTAGAACATTTTTTATAGGAAGAAATTTTCTAAACAAACTTATTTATATATTTTTTTTAAATCGATTTTTTTGAATTTTTTTTACAAAAAACAATTCATTTTTTTAATCCGGTTCCTAAATAATCATGACTATTTAGTGCATAGAATGTCAGGATTTAGGGTTGTAATTAGGGTTTTGTAACCTCCTAAACAGTCGAGCAACCTCCTAAATAGTCGGGGTTGGCAATCTCGACTATTTAGGAACCAGATTAAAAAAATCGACCCACTTTCTCGTCACGATGCTGACATGACGAGAAAGTTGGTCGATTTTTGTAAAAAAAAACTCAAGGGGTTTGATTTTTTTTAAATGTGAATGGGTTTATTTAGAATTTTTTTTTATATATAAGTGGAATAATTTTTATTATGTGATAATTTTTTAATATGGGATATTTTAATGGGATAATTAAGAGTAATTTTTAAAAAACATGATATTTTAGTAGGACAATTGTTAGTATAATTAAGGATAATTTTCATAAATTAATAATCATATAAGTCATGTATTTTGATGATAAGACTACTATTTATACATTTTAAAACTTATTGTTATTATTAATTATTTACTTTAGTGTTAATTAATTTTGAAGAACTATTTTGATAATAATAATTTGTAATTTTTTATTTTTTTGGAATTATTATTGTAATATAAATTAAAAAACATAGTTTTTTTTCCCTTTTTTCTCTTTCTTATTCCATCTACCACACAGCATTCCATCATCTCTCAATTTTAATAATTTTTTAATAAAACATGATATTGTAATTTTTAAATTTAAATTAACTATACAATTCAAATGCTTAATAAAAAATAACATTAAATTGCATGGAATAGTAAGAAGAGATAAGATCTAATTTTATGGTGTGGTTTGAAGATGATGGAGAAATAAAATTAAAAAAATAAAAAAGGTCTAGTTTTTTATTGTGTAGTCCTCACTTAAAACTTAGAACAATTTGAGAGACTAGAACTCTCTCTTTTTTATACGAATTTAATAAAAGTGGGATAATTTTTTATAATTATCCCAATTTTACTTTTTATCCCGTTTTTATTGACTAACACAATGTAATTTTATTCTAGTTCTAGTTCCAATGGACTAACACTTTAAAAAATTGTTCCACAAATTATCTCAGTTCTAATTTTGAGTTCTACTTAACTAACCCCACCTTTGGAATAATTTGAGTGGTGTAAAGTTGGACAATTTAGGAAAATTAAACAATTTAAATTTTTGATTTGACAAATCATGTGGGATAATTGTTGATGTGACATCTTATTAAAAGACAATATTTATCTATCAATTAAGTCTAAATTAATTTACCTAATTGGTTTAATATATTATTTGGTATGTTATTATAATATAATATATTATTTTACTTTATACCAAAATATAATATATTATATTATAATTACTAATTAATTATAACTATATTTAATGTTATTAATTAATATAA